TTTTAAACAGTTCCAGAAATTTGGATTTGATCCCAGGTACTTGAACCATGCCTGATAGGATCATTTCCAAAGGAGAACTCTTCTATTCATGCAATATAAACTCTAGATCAAACCTATTGTGTTTTCTTATCAAGATAATTTCCTTGCTGTTTCTTATAAATCACCCATTTTTTCCAAGAAAACAAATCTAACCCATAGTCATTAATTTAAAATGGATACCCACTCTACCTAAGATGCAACCAAAGGGGATACTGAAGTGAATATGCTCTGGAAGAATTTCCCTCCCGCAGAAAGGTCTCCCATCAAACTGCATCCTCTCTTACTCTCCAGGAAGCTTTTTAAAAATGGCTTTAAAATGTAAATATGGGGGTTAAGGGGAGGATAAGAGAAAGCTGAAATAAATTTGACTGTTTAGTGCTGTTTTCATATATTATTAATACCATTTTGAATCTATGTTGATTCTTGATAATACTTATAGCAATCAGTTACTTATCGTGATAGATGTTGATAGTACTTATGTATGTTATTGCTATGTCTTATAATTTTGATTTATATATTATATATTTAATGTTATGCCATAAGCCTCTTAGGAATTATATAACTGAAATGGCATAGAAACATCTGCAATATATTTTAAAAAATATATGATAAAAGCAAAATAGGTGGTCAAGATTCCTTCAAGTTTTCTTAATTCTAGACATCTTCACAAGACTATGTACTTGGTTCTTTTAACTAGAGAAGTACAAGCTACCATCCCTTTCAATTTATTATTCAAAGCTAATATGTTTTATGTGTTTCGGTTTTTCTTCCTGTTATCACTTATATTGCAAACTGACTTCCCAATAGAATTTGGAATAATTTCCACCTAAAAACACATATTTCGAACGTTCACTGGCAGGCATCAACTTCCAGAGTCACTAATCCAATCTCTTTACTGTTTTGTTAGCTTGTATGCTTGAAATGTACTCGTGTATAGCAAAATCTACTCTTCTCTGAACTGAAAATGATGTGTGCTAAAGGACATTTCTTTTGATACACCTAGAAATGAATGCTGATGAAGAAGCATGGGTCTCCAAGAATGAAATTCAATGTTAAAAACTTACCTTTTACTGTTTTGACAAACACTTGTTTTTCTTTACTAGGATCTTTATCTTCTATTAGAATACCATGGAAAATTCGACCAAATGTGCCTGATAATAAGAAAAATTAAAGAAAAAAAACTAATATAAAGATATTTGTACATACTTCAAATAACTCAACTATGAAGAGTAATTAAGTCTAGCCATTGATCCCTCCTCAGAACATTCACAGCTGAAGCTTCTTTGCTTTTAATCACATAGCATTTGACACCTGAACTTTGATTTTTTATTTTACAATTTGGAGAAATAAAGAAATGATTGTCAATATAAACTTTAATATAAACTTTAGAAACTAACTCAGTTATAGTGAAACTCTCATTTTCAAAACATGCAGAACTCATCAAACCCATTCACTCAACCACAATTCAAAACACTGCCCAATGTCACTGACAGTCATGGCATACACATTGAATAAAATATTATTATTGAAATACAATTTAATATAGACTGTGCTGAAACCTTTTAAAGTCCATTTTAAGACCAGTCAGATCATCAGATAAACTGAAAATCATAATATTTCCTTAGTTAAATTTGACGAACTTGCTCTTCCAATTGTGCACCTTGGTTGCCTCAAGCATTAGAATATTCTGTCTGAATTAATTTGATTAGAAAAACTGGGAAATGAGCAAGTTAACCAGAAGTTAAAAGCTTAAGAAGCACCATCAATGTCAAGAGCTTCGACATGACATTTGAGCAGAAACTATAGCAATGGCTGTATATTATGTAACATTGAAAACTGATTTTTGAGAACAAAAATTATCTTATAAAATGGTAAAATATAGATATTATTTTATTATTACATAATTTATACTGTACAGATCCTGACTCAAAGAAATTCTCTTCCCTAAGCATTAAGGAATAAGAAATCAGATTCAGGGGGTACAGCATCTTGCTAACCTTTGACTTATTTTGGAACCTAAGCAGCATCAATTCTGGTTAGTAAACTGCATATGGAGACCTTATGTAATTCCAGGGTTGCCAGCTAGATTGGGAAGTTTAGAAAAATTTCTAAAGAAGATGCTACAATGAAATGCATTTTATGTTCCTCTAGGGCAGTTTAATCTTAATCTGATTCTTTTTCTCTATAAAAAAGACCATTTTTTTTCATCTTGTTTCAGGCACCTAAGTCTAACTAAGTTGTAACAAAAAACTCTGATAAAAACTAGTTTCTTAAATTGACCATTTTCTTGATTATTTTAGTTAACTCTTTGCTTAAAACTACCAACATCTATCTGAATAATTTACAGAAACTGTGAAAAGAAACAAAAAAAATGTAAAACAAATGAGCAAGTCTTAAATAATACCTTCCTGAAGAACATCTTTTAGTGTTATCCTCTCTCTGGAGATTGCTATATCCTTCACTTTAGCTTTTGCCTCTATCAAAGTTACACTTTTAAGGTCATTCTTCTCTATCCGTAGAGTAGGATAACCTGAGGAACCAGCAAACCCAAACAATACCAATATAAATATCAAATGTAAATATTTGAAGTGCAAGTTTAATTAAACAATTTATTCCAGACAAAAATATGCTGCAATTTAAAGAAAAATGTCATTTTTAATGCTGCAAGAAAAATACACGCTCCTTGATAATACAGTATGTCTTTATTTTACTTAACCTATTGCTCTACGCAGAGTAAAATAAAAACCCAACATATAAAACTCTGGAAGATCAAAATACCAAACCCAAACCAAACTAAACCCAAAACCCAATTCAATGTTTTCTACATGATGATAAAACAATTTCCTCTTGGCTAATTACTAAATACTACACAAGCTTATAATATTTTATTAGTCAAGAAAGCAGGTACGCTGCCATCTTCTGGGCTTTAAATGGTACTGTTATATGAAAGCTGTTTATTTCTTTATATCCTTTGAAAAATCAAAGTCTCTTAGAATTTATAGCAATTGTTTTCATAAAGATATTGCTTATTTAGGGAGAGTGGTAAAGTATATTGTAAAATATGTTCAAAAATATTTTTAGCAGTAAATTAGTTGAACATTTTCTTTGATAGACAGAATACTTACTTTCATTGTGAGTTATACAATGACAATAAAGATATTCTATTCTATATGTTGATGGAAGCCCTCAATTCCTCTCATTAAGTAACCATTCTCTATGTGATCATTCAAGGAAAAATGAACAGTATTCTGCATTATAGCCTAACAGGATTAATTGATTCAGTCATAGACAAAATAATTACAGTAATTTCAAAGAGCTAGCACATTTCAAAAATAACTTAGTTTACACACTGAGACAGCTATGTCAAAAAAAACCTAAAACAACCAATGTATCACAGAGATTTAGTACTGGAATTCAGATATTAGCACAAGACAGAGTATAATTGCTGACTTCTATCATTATAGTATTTAGCTTTTGTACCATAGGAATTATAAAACTAGTATGTGATGTATTCTTTTTCTGAAAATCCCTTTACATTAGTCTTTAACTTAGGGGCAAAACAATCTGACCTCAATAGTCAGAAATTATAATAAAAAAATATCAGGACTTAACTTTAATTGGGTTTTTTGTCCTTGATGGATATATAAAACAATATGCCTAACAATATACAAATCTTGATTTATATACCACTTAAGCAAACTTTAAAATAATGTATTTATTGGAATGCTGGTCCACTTAAAATAGTTTTCTTGAGAATAGTCGTGCTTATTTTCCTGTGAATATAAGCAAATATTGACTAATTATGATTAATTAATTATGCCAATAAAAAAACTGCCTGAACTCAGTGACACAGGGACAATGAATAATTTAGCTCTTTTGATATTTCTCTATAATGGTGTGATAAATCTGTGTTTGTGGTAGACCTGCACTGCATTGTTTTGCCTGCTTTCGCTCCAGGTTAAAAAGATGAGATGAGATGAGATGAGATGAGATGAAATGAGACGGTAAGGTAAGGTGAGGTAAGGTAAAGTAAGGTAGATAAGATTTATTGTCATATTTTACTGTGGGCACACTGGCACACATTAAAAATGAAATTCTGTTGCCTGCTTTCAAAAATGTACGCATACATAACACACATATAGACATGCTATATACATATATATATCTACACCCTTACATATAAATACATATAAATATTAATCACTGTTAAACAGGATTAATAATACTATGCAATAAAACAGATATACTTTCTGAAGTTTTATTGTTGAAAGTTCAATAAAATTGATTTCTCAAAATGATGGATTGAACCCTTAATTAAAGTTAGAAGTTTTTTTTTATTATATGTGCCTCTTTGTTTTCTTGTAGCTCTGAAAATTTAAGGGCAAAATTAACTGTTTTTATCTCACCTCTTACTTTACCTCTTAGTCAATAATAATAATAATAATAATAATAATAATAATAATAATAATAATAATAATAATAATAATAATAATAATAATAATATAATATAATATAATATAATAAAATAATAATAATAATAATAATAATAATAATAATAATAATAATAATAATAATAATAATAATAATAATAATAATAAAAAAGTTGGAATGGACCTTGGAGGTCATCGAGTTCAACCCCCTGCTCAGGCAGGAACCCTACACCATTTCAGGCAAATGGCTGTCCAGTCTCTTCTTAAAAACGTTCAGTGTTGGAGCATTCACTGCTTCTGGAGGCAGGTTGTTCCATTGGTTAATTGTTCTAACTGTCAGGAAATTTCTCCTTAGTTCTAAGTTGCTTCTCTCCTTATATCAATTTGATTTTTTTAAACCATCAGTAACTACACAGTTTTCCTCAACTTTGGCTGATTTCCAGTTATATGAATTTCAATTCCTAAACTCTCAACAATGGACATGATAATTGGGGAACTCTGGGAGTAAAATACTACATAACTGGTAGATGCCCAGACTGCAAAAGATCAATGCACAATGCAAAACCTGTAATTAGTTAAACACTTACTGGTAATTGGTGTAGCATTATTAGGTGTGTCAGCTCTCAGATACTGGGTTGTTTGAGTTGAAGGCTGAGATAAACCTTGAGAACTACTGCTGTTACTAATGCTGTTTTGGAAAACAAACACAAAATACATCATTGTTTCTAAAACTTGCACACCAAGTTTCAAAAATTATCTCCTTCAGTTTTCTGAGGATATAGCACAATTTCAATTTTTCTAAATTAGTTTTGTACTTCTAGTCTAAACACTACAAAATGTAGTTTGCATTCTATCAAAGATATTAAAAGACTTAAGCAACCTCAATCAAGCTAGGAAATAGAAAAAAAGCCATTAAACAGCATTTCTGAGAAATATAATTTAAAACAAATAAAACTTTAAGCCCTGTATAACCTTCTCTAAAAGAACAGATACAATTTGTAAAGTAATGGCCATAATAGTGTTCATATTTGAATATTTATATTCAATATTAGCTATGCTTTCCTTTTCAAACTAGAAAAGCTAAAGAAAGAAAAACAAAATTTAGGAGCTTTGCCTATGATGTCCATAACAAAAGACTACAAAGGAATTGCTAATGCCCCAAATACAGAAACAAAGTTTGACTATGCTTATAAGGTTTTTCAAATATTCAGCATGAGAAGTACTTTTTAAGTTTTCTATAAAACTACAAAGGCTATGAAATGTGAAGATAATAGCATATTT